TGATCTGTTGTGTGTGGTTTTGGGACATGATAGTGACTAGCTAGCTGTTGAATCAGCTGTTGCATAAAATTACTGAAATCCTTCTATGCACTTCAGACAATATTGCACGTACAGAGCAGTGCCTTTTGAATAGTGCTTCACCACATCTCCCACATGGAACCTCCAATTCCTTCCTTGTACTCATATTCCAGTATCCTCATCAGGCCATATCAAAGCTTGCCAATTGAATACTCAAAGTGAATCATCTTTGTTCTTTCTAAGAACCTCCAGATGTCATCTTCCATCTTGAAAATCTATGTGGGCTCACAAAGTCAGAGTTAGATTCCTATGCATCTCTTGTCCTTTAATGTTGAAGGTAACAGAATAATTTTCAAAAATATCTGATGTCCTAAATGCACTATTATCTGTATGGGAAAAGATAAAACCTAAAATTTACATGAAAATGCCAGGGTGGTTATCAACGATGAAAGCTTTCACACATCCAAATTTAGTTAAATTTGAAAAAAATTTAAACATATAAAGATATTCTGAATACAGATGGGAAATTAAAATCTAAACAAGAGCTAGAAGACCAGGGTCTAACCCTAACCCTAACCCTATCATGGTGGCCCTGGTTGCAAATGAAATTAAGGTACGACAAAGATGTTAAGGCATACAGCTTTTATAAAGATCAGACAGTGTTTGACCAGGTGTTCTTGACTTCTGATGAAAAACATGATTAAAAAATTGTATAATTTTCTGTTGAATTTAAAAAGGGAAGACGAACAAGTAAAAGAAACAATGATTATATGGGCAAAAAACTTTGGGTATAATAGAATTAGAGAAATGGCAAAATCTATGGGAAAGAAATTACAAACTGACAATGGCTACTTCATATAAAGAAAACCTATATAAAATGTTTTATAGATGGCATTTTCCACCTGTTAGATTAGCAAAAATGTTTAAAAACATGTCTAGCAAATGCTGGAAATGTAATCAGAATCCTGGTACATATTATCACTTGTGGTGGACTTGTGTAAAAGCAAAAAAAAAAAAAAA